TACAATTATTGAAAGTAAAACTTACAGTAGATGTCTAAATTGTAATTAGAAGTCATTTTTTAAGTAATAAAAGGCTTATTCAAGAAGACAGAGGTGTGATCTAGCCCAGATTTTGATGAGATTATAGATATTTACAGATGTCAACTAAAATTAGGTAATTTGCTTCAGCAATTTCAAGAGAAAAATTCTGTTAGGATTTATCCCAAGTAGTAGAGAAATATTAATAGAATGGAAAAACAAAAACAAGTGTGTGATTTCAAACTTGAGTGGATAAAATTACAGTGCTGTGCATGCAGATTGTGTAATTTTGCCACATTGACAAATTGTTGGCAAACAGTAAATGATCAGGTCTGTAAATGGAAATATTCAGTCTTGGTTCGGACAATTTCAAAACTGGAACAATCTATCAGTCTACTTACAGACACAAATTTAAGTGTCCAGGCTGAAGCCTACTTCCTATGATCAGCTGCTAATGTCAGTACTAGTTGTGTTAATGTAGGAGGACAACTACAGTTTTCTAAAGACAGTGGTGGGTCTTCTCATTACTGAATTGCCAATACGAGGGCTACAAAGAAAAGCAGGAGGCTTGGGGAAATTCCAGAGAACTTTTCTGGAATAATGACATAATATTCAGGTGAAACTTTTTCAATAAAACCAGTATTCTTTTCTCTTTTTTTTCAGAACTGATGTTTCATACTGAAATTGAGGAATTTCCCCAAGGACTTATCATACCCAGAGTCCAGCCATAGAGTGGAACATGAACCTTGTAGCTGAAACTGATGGCTCAAAGCTTACTGTATTTTAACCATGTATTATAACTTTCATAAAGCAAAAAAAAAAAAAAAAAAAAAAAAAAAAAAAAAGTATTTTTATATTGTATATATTTCATGGATCTTTTATGTATGCTAATTTTTAATTATTCAAATGTGACTGAAATCTTTTATATATCTTCTTTTTGTTTTGTAAAGTAGATTATCTCTGGTACATAAAGTCAAGGTACTTCTGTAAACATTGCTACCTACACAGCCAAAGGAAATGGGTGAATGTTGAAGATCTGCTATTCTGTGCTTTTTTGACAGCAGTGCTATATTGTCATCATCAATCTATGTTTTGTTACTGACGCTGTTAGCAGTTGAGGTATATCCTTTTTCTAAGATATTTCATAGAGATGAAAATAAATCTTAGGAAGAAAGCAGTTTAAGTGAATAAATGCAGATGTCTTGCAGGATGAAACAATCTCCTTAGCAGACATAGGCAAGTGCTAGTCTGAAATCCATTTCTCATGCAAGTATCACACAAGACTAGTTTTAAATTTTATTTAATATGTATTGAGTTTTGCATTATTTTATTTAATGTATCTGAGGGTGGTTTTAAAAGATGTGCAGTGTCAAAGTTCCCTGGAGGCTACTGTGTTTTATAAAAGTGGTGGTGAATTTAGCCAGATGAAAGAGTGGAAGGGAGATGTTAAAGAGCCAGTAAGTTTCTATCCTGTTGCCTAAGTTGCTTTAACACAAGAATGGGAACATGAATAACTAGGACAGCTTCTGCTCTGTCAAGAACTTGAGTTCTAGTGTGTTTATTTAGCAAATTTAAGTAATTATATAATTCTAGAGAGGGAAGAAAAAAAAAGTTCTACTGGAATTGAAAGATTTTCCATAACTACTGGCTCTATTTTAGGGCATTCACTTGTTTCTGGGAAGGAACTGTTTAACTTTTTTGTCAATTATTATGATGTGTATATATTCTTGTAAAACTGTGGAGCTCAGTTACAGCTGATGGTGCATTGTATGTTATAACGAAGAGATTCAGGATGCTGGTCCCCATCAGTGTTACTTTGGAGGTCCTTGTGATTTGCTGTAGGAGATGGGAGATGAAGCCACTACTTAGTGTTCTCACATGGGTTTCTACACAGTAATTTCCTTGCAAAGTGGGAAATGCACATCACAAATTCTTCAAGCGTCATATGTTTGATTTACAGAATTTCTGAGCTCCTGAAGATGAAATTAGTAATGGATTCTATTTGCTATTTCATGCTTCTGTCATCTTGGCATGTGATAAAAAGTATAACTTCTCTCATAAGGTACGGAGCTCAAACACAATGGTGTGAAGGCACCCAATCAGTACAGAGAAACATGAAGACCATCACTGCTTGATTTCATTTCTGAAATTATTTCTAGGAATTGGCCTTCTAAGTATCCCACAAACAAAGCAGTGCTAGCCAGGAGCCAGATTTTGCTCTCATTGTGAGATGGTTGAGCAGTGATTAAGTTTTTTGACTTAATGGCATCAGTAGTTGAAGCCAGACTTGCCTTCCTAGTTCATACCTTTTTTGGAGGACCTGAGTATAAACCTAGATGAATGAAAGAGGCTTGAGGTTCGCCATTTAAAATCACAGTTAGATAAACAATTTCATGGCTTATTACTTCTTTTACAAGGTAGTTTTCATTCCGTTAAGCCTCACAATGGAATTTAACTGCTTTTTATGCGTGTATGTATTTAGATACTTGGAAACCTTTAGAACATCTTAAAGTTTACAGAATAGATGTTTAATTGCAGAACATGCAGTATATGTAGAAGCCTTAACTGAAATGCCTTTGTGCATTTCCATTACCATTGTTTTTGATACAGTATTTTGTGTTGAAGGAAAAATTGCAGAGAAGTTAGTGCCAATTTTTTGTTTTTAAGTATCTGAAAAGAGTGAGGAAGTGATCTGAATGAGTATTAGCTTGTACTACTTTGTACTGTTTCCAAACGTTTAGTTTGTTTAAAATAAATCAGTCTAACTTGTTTCTTTCTCAATGCTAACATTATATTATTGTATACAAGCTCTGAGCAGATTTTATGGGAAAACATTGCTTTCTGTAGTCCTTTTCCATTACTGATGTAAGTAATGGCTGTCTTTCCACCAGCAGGCTCTTGCCACCATACTGGCCTTCTGCAGTGAGAAATAGCACTGTAACAGCCCAAGAACCAGCGAGTAGACTCACTGGTCTGTGCTTTCTGAGATCTGGTTTGCATCAGATTTAGACTGGACATAAGGAAGAAGTGTTTTGCAGACAGGACGGTGAGGCATTGCAACAGGTTACCCAGAGAGGTAATGGTGCCCCATCCCTGTAGACACTCAAGGTCAGGCTGCACGGGGCTCTGAGCACCGTGATCTTGTGTAGGTGTCCCTGTTCATTGCAAGGTGGTTGGACCAGATGGCATTTAAGGGGCCCGCCCAACCCTATGATTCTGTGCTGAAGTGCTGCTCGGCGTCTTCGCAGCAGAGCTCCGCGGGATGCTCGACGGAACACAGCCCGGAGCCGCGGCCCGCCGCCACAGCCCTTCCCGCCAACAGGGGGCGCCCTGCGCGCGCCTAACGGCCGGTGCAACTGCACGGCCGCCATTTTGGGCTCTGCCCCAGGGAGGCGGCGCGGCCACTTCAGTACCGCCTTTCCTTCCTTCTCCGGGCAATCGGCGCTGGAGTCTCTCGGCCGAGAGGGGGCTGAGCCAAAGGAAACGTGTAGAGTTCTGAGGTACGGGCGGTGCTACGGAAGGGGAGGAGCCGGGGAGACGAGCAGGTTGGGCCCGGGTGGGTTTGGCTAAGAGGCGTGTCTGCAAGTGGTTGCAGAAAGCGCAGGGAGGTGTGGTGATACAGAGGCCTGAGGGAAGCGCTTAAAAATCTTATAAAGGTTCACGTTATAAAGACTTTCAGAAGCGAAGTTGATGCAAGGAATGTGTTCATAAAATCCATCACTAGTGGCCAGAAACAGATTGCTGATGGATTTAGGGGCATTGCTGCCCAGGGCAGGGTGAGATCGTCACCAGCAGAAACCAGCAATAAAGTACATTTTGCTGTCTCATACTCTTACAGCAAGAGTTTTGGAAACAATCTAAAACCTCTTTTACATAATTTCTTCAAGACAATCTTAAAATCCAGCTAAACAATATAATAACATGAAAATCTGCATTAAGCAAAGGCATGCAAAACTTTAGGGAATAGTAAACCAAATACAATTGCAGCTAATTTGTGTAATTTGCATTTTTCAGAAATTTGTGGGGATTTTTGATAACGAGCATGTTTAAGTAACTGATCTGTGGAGTAGGATCAGTTGCTTGCTTTTGGGAATCATGGAGGTTTCCATAAGAACTAGTTTAAACCTAGTATTTATTCTTTCATTGAATCATGAGTTTCTGGACAGATTAAATTATTTTAATTACCAAAAAGTTATTCTGCTACCTATTAGTAGACCTGTTTTTCAGTGCTTTCTTTTCTAAATCGTTAAGTCTCTGTTGCATCAAATAAATTGATTTCACAGTGTGGTTTCATATTCCTGCTCTTTGGATGTCAGTCTGACAGGGTGTGTTGTGCAGGATCTCTGAATTATATTATTTCTTCCTCAGTCAGAGAAGACCATCATGAGGACAAGTCATTACAGCTGGCTTAGGTGTTTTAGCGGTTTATTAGACAGCCTAATGTACTTTAGCAAAGCTACTTACAAGCATTAAAGACAGGGTACATAAGTCACCTACTTTTGTACCTCCCTCTTATCAGAGACATTCAGAACAGTCTTTTTAAAACATTTTTCCATGATTTCGCAGGCTAAAAACTGCTTACATCACTTTTAAAATGGGGGTAGGGAAAAGAGAAATGTAAGGTGAAACTAGGTAATGTTTTTGTAATGCTTGCTTTTGTTCACTGATAACATCCATTGGAAAAAATGATCATTTCTCCAATGGATACTTATTGAAGTACTTTATATAGAAAATCAAGTTTATTGTGACTAAATCACATTTTTATCCTATGTTCATCCATTCAGACATTCACAAACTGCTGCATCTGTCATTAGACCAAGACAGTAGGAAACAGAATAGCATGGTTATATTAAGGATGATGTTATATAACAAGTTTTCTTTTGTGACAAGTTTTTAATTACATTACATAGTGTTAAATGCTAAATAAGAGAAAGATGGCAGCAAAAAAAAAAACAAAAAAAAAACAACAAAAAACAAAACAAAACACCAACAACCACAAAAAAAAAAGAAAAGAAAAGAAAAAGAAACCCAGACCACTTCTGTTCTATTTCTACAAATGTCAAAATTGCAGAAGTAATCCATCTATTAATTTCTGTTTCACAGGGCATGAGAACATTTTGTAAATATATGAAAATTTTTACAATGTCTCACATTGAGCTTAAATGCAAGATTCTTTGAAAATTTTAACTCTGACTTCAGCACTAGTTCGTATGCTAATAACATGTAATTGGTATGAGTAAGGGTTAATACATGGATGTTCTGAGAAATTAGAGGTTTATTGTGCTTGGAAGCATGTCAGCTTGGAATAGGAAGTCCCTTTTAACAATGCAGATAACATATGTCAGGTTTTGAAAATACAAATTGTATGCAAAAACTTCTTCATAGCACTGTATCTAATTTTCAGTGTATCACTGTATCTTGTTTTCAATGCCATGCAGTTGTAACCTGTTCAACAGTATGATTGGTTACACATTTGCTGTGTTAACTGATGCACTAACACATTTTTGTGTTAAGTCATTTTATGTTATTCCTTAGAAGAAAGTAACACAGTTAATGAGCAGAATTGCAACAAATCTCTCTGTAAACTTAATCCAGAGACTGGAATATTTGGCTGTTTAAATCGGTCTATTCTTTACTTCGCTTTGTTGTTAGTATTCAGGTTCATTGTTACAGAGTGCAGAGCGCTGTTATTTCAAGTGAAGCTTACAAACACTAGCACTTCAGCTGCCTGAAATGTTTGGCATCAGGCTTTCTTAAAAACAAACAAACAACAGTGAATTAATGTTTGTTCAGACATCTCTAATTTAAGTATGTGCAATTTCATATCTGTTTTCATTTACTTGACTTGGGGATTATATGTACAGTTACTTATACAAAAATACTTGTAAGTGCTACATAATTTATTTTAAAACAATCAAGATTTGCAGTGGTTAGGGGTAAAGAACCTTATGGGGTTTGTGTGAGACTAGTGTCTTCTCTGAAGAGCCCACAAGCTAATATTGGTATGATTAACAAGAGTAACTTAGTAGTTTAGACAACTGTTTTCTTAACTGATGACTGACATAAATCTGAAACATTTCTTGCAGTAACAAGAAGCTGTTAGTATGATTGAATTGTGAAAACAGGAGTACAAGAATTATAGAAATATATGGAGGCAGACAGGGCAAGTTTTTATTGAGAGGCTCTTAAGCTTAGTTGTACCTATTATGTTCTGAACTATGAGTTCCCTTCACAGCGTAATGAGTAGTGTCAAGTATTTTGTTAATACTTCAGTGTGATTATTTAGAACTGGTTGTGCCTTCCAGTCATTTGGCATTCAAGGCTTTGAAGAGAAGCTGCTGGCAAAGCAGTAGTATTTGCAGGGCTGGTTGCACGTAGGCCCAGCCATGTCAGATTTGAGCACTTCACAGTGGAATTTCCATGTGTTGAAAAACTGAAATGTATCCATTCACTATCTATACATTTTCACTATTGTCAGAACATATGTCAGCAAGTAGTAGTGGCTTGGGACACAGCTTTTTCTAAAACATGATGAGGTTGCAGTTTTTAATAATAATAGTAATAAATGCTCCTTTTGTTCAACTTGAGTTGCTTGGTCTAGAGTGGGAGATGAAAAGTTAGTGATTTTGTGGGCACAAGGGCAGTTTTTCATCAGGAAAGAGACAATAAAACCTCTCAGATTCTTGTGAATTTGTGCCCTGAATTGAATCATGGGAATCTGACTGCAGAAGATGTTTGCAAGCAGCAACACAGGTGAAGCTTAATGTGTTTTGTAACTTCTTTTGAGAAAACAATATTAGGTCGAGATAATTCTTGGTGATGGACAGGTACACAGTATAAACAAAAATACATACAGGGACTTCAGATTGTTTAACAGGTCTTCAAAATTAACCTGTATGTGTTATAACTTAAGACTTCCTTTATGTTATAAGAGGTTCTCAAATTGTTTGTTAAGATGATGCAACAGTAAATGGAGATGCAAAAGCACAGATCTGCATTAAGGATGCAGAAAAATGCAAAAGCATTTTAAACTAGCTTCTTTGGTTAACATGTAGTATTGAAACTGCAGAAAAGTCTTGACTGATAGCTAATTCAGGGCAAACACTGACCAATGCATGTCAATTGGCCAATTCACCTTTTGAGAGGCAGGAGAAAGAAACATGATTTGTATAAGAAACTCATTTCTGCAGTTTCAAATTTAGGCTTGAAAATGGAAGATTACTCCTCACTGAGATAATTTAGGCAACAATGAAAGATAAATAGAATACTGAAGAAAAGCCATGGACAAAAGACAAAGCCTGAATTCAGAAAGGCACTTGGACTGCAGTAATACGAGCTAAAAAGTGCAGTATAAAGTGAAAATACAGCAGGAACCCTCACATTTGTTAAGAAATATTTCAAAAGAGGGAGATAAGAATTCAGTTGTTCCTTACATGCAGTTTTGCTTGAGATCTGAAAAAATGAGGCATACTGCACTTCCCGATACAAACATATGATGAAGTTAATGGAACATGGCCACTTTAACTGCATTTTCAAGTATACAGTGTATAACTGTATTTCAACCATACAAACTAAAGCAGCAACTAGAAATCACATTTTCCTTCTTTGAAGCACAAGAGAGGTATGATTGCTTGGTATCTGCTTAGAATTCCCAGTCGGGGAATGCTGCAACATGTTGAGTTGCAGCATTACATCCAAATCCAGCCTCAGCTGCTGCTGAGGGCAGTGTCAAGAACTCTGATCTGTTGTTTTGAACAGGGGGCGGTAATAGGGACAGTAGTGAGTTCTGTGTTTGTTCTTTTACCTATGAAGAAGAAAAGTTAATCAAAAGAGGGCTGCAAAAAAATCTGCGTAAACTTGTGCCTGACTTAATTAAAAACATGTAAAAGTCATAGAGCCATCTTCTTGCATGTTACAGTATTGAAAACAGGCTAAGAGGTTTAGCTTTCCTCACTCTACAGAAAGTTGAATTCATCTTTCATGACTAATTGCATTAGCTGTGGAATTCTTCTGCTTGAAATCCTGAATATTTACCAATTTTCTCATTAGTTAGGCTGACCTAAGTTAAACCATCATTATCAAAGGGAAAATAGATTATTCTAATGATGCATCCTTTTACAAAAGTTGTCTGAAGCAGATGAGCTGTTACGTGATGGTTTTTGCTTCCAGCTAACCTAAATATTTTGTAATCCAACTCTAATATTTTAGGACTTATTTTGATTTTTTTTGATCACTGTGTCATTTAATAAAAATTTAGTGAGCTCACCTGTTTGAAGAACGTATGAGAAAGCAAACTGCTTGCTGATGGCCTGCATCATAAAATGAACAATACGATTATATTTTGCAAAGTTAAATTACTCTTCTTGGGAAAGGGCCTAGTCTGACAAAGTGCATGTTTAAAATTAATTTTACTTGTCTAAATGCAATACAAGATAGATTCAGACTGTAAGAAGTTCAGGCCTAAAGGGAGTCAAAACTTTAAAAGCATGGTTCCTTTGTCAAATAAGACAGTTTTTAAATAACAAGACCAAAGGAAAGTGTAGAGTTTTGTGTAGTAATTCTGGTCTGAAATTCTGATTGTAACAGTATTCAACTAATTACTGTATCCTAAACCATAGACTAGACCTGGTCTAAGACTAAAATGACACAAAATCAGTTTTCACCAGAGCATTACCTTTTCTCAGGGTCCTGTTGCAAGCAAAGTTCTACCAAGTCGTAGAATGCAGGGGAAAATGTTTTGGAAACAGGACTTTGTAGTCTTTCGCTTGTCATCGTGCGTGTCAGACTCTCACTAATTCCAGAATCAACACCTGATTGGGAATTCTTCATTCTGGATTCCCCATGGGGGAAGGCATTTATATCCCAGGGATAGTATGTAGGACCTTTCAGCTTCTGCAGCAGCATCTAGTAGAAAGGAAGAGCGGTTCTACGAGTGCACCACCCACAGACCTATTCAGGCTATGCTGTGAGTCTACCAGAAAGGATTATTTACTCTAGCAAGAAACATGCATGTTTGAAATAACAAAAAGCGGCCACCATTTCATCAGTAAAAGTACTGCTTTATCTCAGTAATGCTTTATTTAAAAACAGAAAAAAAAATCTGTATCCTTTGAAGTAGAAATGGAGTTTAGCATCATACCTGAGTGCGAGGCATGTCTTGAAATGGAACATGTCCATTGGCTAATTCACATGCTGTTATTCCCACACTGTAGATGTCAGATTTCATATTATACCCAGACAAATCCTGTGGGAGAAATAAAACTGTACTGGACCACAGAAGTCATTGATGCATGCAAACAGAAACACAAATACCAGCGTCAAGACACAATTCTAAAATTCTGTAATCTAAACAGGATTAAGGCAATTAACAAATTGAAACAGGCTTTTTCTTGTGATGTTGCACTGAAGACAGGATCTGCTCTAGTTTTCAGGAAGAGAATCAGGCAGATTCAGTTGTAAGCACCACCTCACCAACAGCTTTAAAACCTGTTCTCTTTAGGAGAATCACAAACTCAGTTAATCTGGGTATTTTTGTTTTTAAATTGCAGTTCAACAGCTTCTATTGCACTTCTACAAGCAGATGTAAGATGGAACTTGAGTACTTCCTGTTAACTTGAAATGAAGAAGAATGAAGTGTATTTCAACTGACCTGTCTCAGTAGTTCAGGGCTCAGCCAAGGTAGTACAGATGTACTAAACTGAGGAAAGTCATACACCACCTTTGACTTTTGTCCATTGTTAACTAAACTGTACAGGTTGTTTAAGCCAGAGAGAGAAACTAGTCCATCCCCTGAAATCAGAATGTGGCTAGCTTTAACATTCCTGTAACAAGAAGTGGTAAATTTTAGTTAAACAAATTACTCAAAGCACTATTAAAGTAGAAGTATGAAAATCTTTCATTAATTTATATTGGGGAGTTTACATGCAGTTTTGTTTAGCAGATTATTTTCATGAGTGGTCTTCCCTTAGCATGAGCTGTCTTTTTAATACACCCGAGAGATGGTTAGCAAGAAAAACTGACTGCCAGACAGGTGGTCTTTCCTTCCCTGCAAAGAAGGTAAAGAATGAATTTATCTATCCTGCTATATTATTCAAAAGCAAACTAACAAAATGAAACAACCTGTACTGTTTCTGCATCTGCCATAAGAAATATATGGAAAAAGGAAAGATGACATTGAATCAAATATGGGTTTTGTAGTGAAACTAAATTCCTAATAAAGTAGATACTATAATCTGATTCTTACCTATGGCACTGATTGTCCTACAGGTTGTCCTACCTGTGAATGTAGCCATTCTGGTGCATGTAATTTAATCCTCTGATTGCACCAAACAGAATGTTCCCTATCAAAGCTTCACTCATTCCTTCAGGAAAGTATGTCTTCAGCAGATGTCTCGCAGAACCTGGAAGCAGGAGGAAAAAATACCCTAAGCCTAACAAGCCACCTTAAACTTGTTTTCTATGCCTCTTTTCTTGTTTACATTTGCCAAGAGTGATATTCTCACCTTTATATTGACTATGGTACATCAGGAACACTTACATGGATGCAACTGAAGCATCCATCAATCATAAGGATTGCACTCGTGTCATGCTTGCTAACTGAAAGCCAATGCAAGCCTGCTCTGAAACCAACAAGTTTTCTATTCTATAAGGTCAAATGCATCTCTCTCTTATTACTCCGTACTTTGTGGGGATTAGGACTAAGTGAAATTGAATGCAATTCAAATGTCAATCCTTTCTGGGGAGGAAGGCGATATACAGAAGACTTATCTAAACAAGTGGTTTGGGAAAGCGTGTCTATTGGGGTTTTTTTCTCCCTCCTCCCCCCCTTTTTTTTTTCCTCCCTTCTCTTTCTCTATGAGGAGATTCTTAAAGAAAAAACACTTGTCAACTGCATAGCCCAAATTTCATCAGTCCTTTTCCATATTCCAAAATTGCAGTTAACAGTTCTTACCATAGGCCATGAATGGAGAAATGACCCAAAGCCAACTACCAGCTGTAAACACTGTCCAAAGCGTCATTATGTTGGGATGCTGGAAAAAGTGGGATAAAACCACCTCATTCTATGGAATTAAATGAAAATGGATGTATTAATCACAAAACAACTGTCTTACTAAAAGCATTAATTGTGTCAGTAATCAGCAGAAAAAAAAAAAAAACTATTCAGTTTATTTATACTAAATTGCATATGATGAGCATTGCTGCAAGAGATATCCAAATAGCCTGGATGTGATTGCATTTTTCTGAAGTCTAGTTTGTTCACAGTTGTAAGTTTTACTGTTAAATCCAGAGCACAAAATGTTTTTTCAAAGGAAGAGTTGTAAAGTTCTATGACAGTTTCTAAAACATTCGTCAACGGTTTCTTCAGATCAAACTTGCACATGCCTTTTCTATTCCTTTGAAGAGAAAATTTGAATTCAATTGCCCAGTAAAAGCACAAAGACTGCCTCAGTTTACTTAATTCTTACGTGTTCAAAAGTGGCTTCAGAAGGGTTGTTGCTTTACCTGTAAGGCTTTCAAATGCTCTTCTGAGCAGCTTTCTAGGTCTGTGATCCTTATGGCAACTTGTGTGCCTGTAGGGGTATGCCGTGCAAGGTAGATTGAAGTTAAGTTGTTGAATCTCCTTCCTGAAACCAAAAGTTGATACCTTAATATTAGAAAATGTAGTAAGTCACCAAAAATTTTTCTTTGTAGTTAAAGGACTTTACAGTTCTGAATTTTAGTGGATAGCAGCATGATGTTTTCTTTAAGCACACCAACAACTTAAGTAGTTGGGGCAAAATACATCCACAAATTAGTTAGAGCTTGGTTCTGCTGTTTTTAGAGCAACAAAGGACATTTAAACATTTGTCAGCATCAGTAATGCATCTACATTAACAGCCCTTTAAGTACACACATTAGAATAAACAGGAGAGACACGGACCTATTAGAGAGTGTCCAGATGGGGGGGGGGCACAAAAATAATCCAAGTGATGAAACACCTCCCCTACAGGGACAGGCTGAAAGAGCTGCAGTTCTGTCTGAAGAAAAGAATGCTTCAGGGATACTCAATAGCAGCCTTTCAATATCTAAAGGAGGGGGAGAGACTCTCTAGCAGGTCTGTTGTGATAGGAAAAGGGGAAATGTTTCAAACTTAAAAAGGGGAGATTTTGATTGGAGATAAGAAGTTTCTTTTATAGTAGGGTTGGTGAGGCAGTAGCACAGGTTGTCCAGTGAGGTGGTGGATGCTCTGTCCTTGGAGACATTCAAGGTCAGGCTGGATGGTGCTCTGAGCAACCTGATATAAGTATAGGTGTCCCTGATCATTGCAGTGAAGATAGACTAAGTGACCTTTAAATGTCCCGTCCAAATCAAATAACTCTATGATTTTAAGCTTGCACAGTGAGATTCAGTGCAGCCATCATTAAGACAATCAAAACAAGGAGCCAAAGGACAGGTTATGGTGTTACTTAATGTTATATTTATTGTTTGCATGCCACAGACTTTAGGCAATGACATCCAAATGCACAAATATCAAAAGAAAAATTTGATATTTGTTAATTTGTCTTATGTTTTAAAGCAAGCGCTAACTGAAACAAGATCTGTATCTTTCTCAAGAATAGGGAATAGTAGAAACAAGAATAATTTTAGTCATCTGATAATACATTTTCCAAACTTAATATTTATTGCAGTTAGCAATAGTTACAGAGAGAATGCATCTGCAAGAACAAGAACTATTTTAATGTACAGTTGTGTTACCTATTTCCACCTGGAGTTCATAGTGAGAGACATTGGAAGAGCAAAATATCATTTCATTCCCTCCTTTAGATGGGGGAATCCAGGCTAGCTCAGAATCAGCCTAACGGTGGAGAAAAACATAGTTCTTAGAATTACTATGTACATTTATGTTTAAAATTAATGCATAAATAACATCAATTGGAATGCTAAGATCAAGTACTGGAGTTGGAATATTCAAGCTGGTGCTTGAGACTTACTACACTGAGACTTACACAAATAAGCTACTGGGTTTTTTGTTTTGTTTTTAAACTAGTAAAAGATTAGTACTCCAGAGTACTCCAGTTATTTTTCCTCTTAGTGTTTTATTAAGTGCTTGCTAATGAGATAACTTTTTTTTTCCACATGTGCAACTTCATACTGAACTTTGCCAGTTAATGCTTTTTTTTTTTTTTTTTTTTTTTTTTTTTTTTTTTTAATTATTTGTGTTTTTTTTTCTTACCAGGGATTCATGGCTGCTGCTCTGAGATTGCTTTTCTGGTTGGATTGACTCAACTGGTGTACGTAGAATACAGGAACAGTCCTTGAGAAAAGAAACAAGTGAGTTGTTAGTGGTCTGGCTGCAATTTATTAAACAAGGCAGTGGGAAAACACCACAAGTTGTTGTCTAATCCTAATAAGCTGTAGTTCAGAAAGTTTTCAGCTACAAGTCAGACATGCAAGAGATTAAAAAACAGTATAGAGCATATGGTAGGCTGAGAACTAAACAGCCTGCATCAAAAGTTGATACAAGGAAGCTTCAACATCTCAGAACTGTGGAAATCCCCCTAAGCAAAACATTGCACCAGGGCTGTTTAACTTAAGGTATTGCTGGCTAGCAAGGTACAACTATTGAGGATTCCCAAATAAAATACAAACTTACCAAACAAGACATGGAACCACTTTAGATGAGGTGAAAAATACACCCATTGATCCTAGAACAATTAAAGTAGCAATGTCAGATTGTACGTGAACCTGTGATAAAAGTGAGTCTTTTAATAAATGAGAACATTGAGGCATTCCTCTCAGTTATGTCACACTGAAACTTCTACAGTCTTGGGAAGGCCTGCTTTTCTATTAACCATAACCAAGTATATGCCGCATACATTCCAACTTAAAGGTTTCCTTTTAATTCATGGCTTTAGACATCTTATTACCATTTCTGAACAAGCAATTTAATTGCAAGTCAACTGCGTAAGTGCAGAAAATAAAACAGAAATGGATTTGTGCATCATTAGCAGTTCATAAGAAAGAAAAAAAAACAACTTATTTTAAAGAAGCACAGCTGTGTGCAGCTGAACTAGCTCACAAACCCAGCCAGAAGCCATTGCACTTTACATTTCCCAACTGAAAGAAGAAATACTATTGTAGAGAACTTGAGTAAGAAAAAGAGAGGAAACAACTGATTTTTTTCAAATCACTGATCACAGAATAGGCACTCAAACTCCCTCACAGATCAGAATCACTACTTTTCCAGCAGACTTTTCTGTCCAACATGTTGAAAGCTTACACAGAGAGGACAGAGAGATGGTTATGTCTAATATGCACACTGCAGTTTCTAGCATAAAGTGGGACTACCTCACTTTAAGCTGCCTGATGATTCACAGGGAAGTCTTCTACTGTGTTGAATCAATCCTACTTGACAGCTGACAAAGTCAGCTGTTGGGGGTTGTTCCATGTTAATGTGTAATTATTGCTTGAAAGTTAACTTCAGAAGGTGAACTACTACATCCAAACCCAATAATTTTGTAAATCAGGAACCTAAGCTTGATTATATCCTTCATTAAAACTATGAATGCTCTTTAATCTAGGCAACACTGAAAAGTGAACAAGCACCAACCAGCCATCTCCTGCCAAATAACTAAGCCACCAGTAATCCTTACTATTCTTACTCTAAACAAAATGCTTGAAGATTATGTGCGATTCCTTTTCAAATATGAAAAATGGAGAGATCCTTAGTAGGTATTTGGCTCTGTTAGAAGGTAAGGGCTTGACTTACCCACTTCACCAAAGAAGTCTGTGGCAGGGTAGGAAAAAAATGCAAATACCTCAAGACATTAGCCAGTTCAGCGCGACAGTATCCTTGTTATACCTGGAAAAAGAAACCTTGTTCCATTATACAAAATTAGTTACTCTGTTGCTTGAAACACTAAGCCACAAAAGCTAAGGCAAGGTTGTCTTAATAACTCAGGTATGCTAAAGTGAAATCGTCCGAGAACTTGTTCAGAGCTGTGCAGGGGTATCACCAGACGGCAGCGGTGTCCCTAATCCACATTTGTTCTAATAACATTGTTTCTTAATTTTTTTAAATTCCACTGTTTAATGTTGTGTCCATTTTCATTATGGCTTTGGGTCCCTAACCTAAGCCTTTTTTTCTACTGCAGGTTGTGACAGCGGCGCACAGCTCAGCTGACTGTCATCGCAGCTCAGCTAACGCTTGGGATGCAAGTTCCATCTATTTCCAGAAAGACGTGAGCTGCGGAGGCCCAAAGCCCAGGTACCACCAGTGTTACTGCTGTCCTGCTGACGCGGGGCTGCAGCTCTTGAGGGTTTGAGCGGCTGAAGAGGTTCGAGTTAAGTGATCTTTGACAGATACCGACTCGAAGTCCTCGACAAAAGGAGCGGAACGCGAAAAGCGCTCCCAGCCTCCCTTTGCTCAGCTCCCTTTAGCTCGCACCTTTCCCCCGCGGCGCCCACCCGCCCCGCCTCCCTCAGCCCCGCGGCGGCCGGCACTGCACTACCCCGCTCCCGGCCCGCCAAGCTCCCCGACTCCAATTCCGGAGGCGCGGCCGGCTCGGAGCCCCTCGGTCCCCAGTGCGGCCGGGAAGCCCCACGGGAGTGAGGAAGCGCCCGCTCGTACCCGCCGCCGCAAGCCCGGAACCCCGCGGAGCTGCGAGGGTTGGCGGGGCCTCGGCAACGAGCGGCCCGGTGTGCCGCGGGGCCGGCCCCTGGCGGCGGGTGGCCCAGCCGCGCCGCGCGGCGTGCCGGGGCCTGTAGTTCCGCGACTGCCGGGCGGAAGTCATCGCCGCGCTTCCTCGGTCGCCGGCTGATTGCACGGCGGGCGGCTGCCCGTCAGCCGCGGGCGCAGGGCGGCGGCGGGGAGGCGGAGCGCTGGAGGGAGCTCGGGTAAGGCGGGTAAGGCGCTGCTCGGCGCTGATTTGGGGTGGCTGTGCCGCTTATGGGCGCTCTGTAAGTTCTCAGTGCGAGCTGCTGAGGTGCAGCGGGAGCGTGTCGTGGCCGAGAAGCATGAGGGCTGACCGTGGCATGGCCTGGCCCCGGCTGCGGGCCTGTGGCTGCGGGTGGGCTGCGCTATACTGTGCTGTGCTGTTTTGAGCGGGAGGCGAGCGGCAGCCCTCGTCCGTTCTTGCGGTGAGGCTGGCGGAGGTCTTTTCGGGTGGTAACGTAGATATATGTGATGCTAAGCTTTATTTTCGGGTGGTAATGTAGATACATACGATGCTAAGCTTTGTGTCTATAGTATATACGTGTGTGGCTGCGGTCGAATGGCAGACCTTTGCTGCGGCGATGGCAGTGACCGCAGGCTGTGCATAGCGTGACCTTCAGCGTGCCGTCAAGTTCGTTCCATGGTAACAGTGCCCTTACCCACACGGGCTCCGTATGGGGAGGCTGTGTCTCTGCTCACAGAAAGCAAAGCTTGGCGAAACATCAGTTGTGTCTCAGGTTTTCTATGGACTTTAGGACAAGGCAACTCTGGGTTCCGTCAGCTTTTTAATTACAGCATTGCATTCTGAGCTTCTGAGTAAAATGCAGTAATAGCTTTTTTCCTGTTGGCCACCCAGTGAAAAAATGCTGCATGATGCTGCACCTTTGTATTATTATTATTATTATTGAAAGTAATCTTCAACTGTAAGCTGTTGAAAACATCCTTTTTTGTTATGTGTCAGAGTTATTGTTGCCTGGCAGTGAGAATGTGGATCAGATACATCAGATACTATGAAATAATTCTTAACACAATGTTACAAGACAGCATGGTGAATTTTAGGTTAGCTTTCACATACTTTCTATTTTAAAAGTATGTATTTTATTAGCATTTATTGGGACTTTTATCTTTGCTGTTGACAAAGAATGCTATGTAGAAAGTATTGAAGTTAATCTGTTGTCTTTACATGTATTTCCAGTACTAGTCTTAACATGCCTAGAGTTTGATATGATGGACAAATGAGGAAGGAGAATGGTAGAACAAATGCATGGAAAGCTAGATCTCATTAATTCCAAAGCTTATAGGTGCATTGGTCTCTTTTCCATCCCTTCCAGTTCCCATATGTAATACAACCTGACTAGATGTGCAGACAGTTGGTGTGATACCACAGATGTGAAGGCGTTCGGCACTCTGTACTGATAGAGCCAGGCATCAATTTGTCTGTTTGGAGGAAGGCTGGTAAGGAGGAATTGAAGAAATGAAAAGGAAATGTGCCTCCAGCAGTTAGTGCGTAATGCTTTTCAACCAGGTTAAACGAGCTCAATATTAATTTCTTCTCCTCCATTTCTTGTCTACACTGCCTGTGCTTTGAATGTCTTTTTTCTTGCAGTTGGTATAAATACATTTCAGGGCAGTTAAGTCGGTTGTTTACCTCATTCTTTTATTGAAGGCATGCATCCTCAAGGTTTTTTCTTTTAATTGTACTTCTAACACTGAAGGTAACTTGAAAAAAAAAAAAAAAATTACATATACCTGAAACTTAAGAGCTCTTTAGTGATGGTGTCCTCTATTAGATCTGTATCAGTTCATAAAATTTGGGATGAGGATTTGAAATAATGATTTAAGAAGCAGAATGCTGGAAAATCTGGATGTTCTGTTGTTAGTTTGCATCTAATATAGCAGAGGGCTGACTGGGGTGAATATTGCCCTGTTGAAAGGCAGTGTTTCAGGAAGGGTGAGCATGTGATTCATTGATAAGTTTTCCAGGAAGCTACCAAAATAGCATTTTTGCAGAGATGTTTACAGAAGAGATGACAGATCCTTTTATCTACTTAGGTTGCTAGCAGTATTCTGATGGCTGGGTCACATTGATCAGTCTAGTTTCTTTTAATAAATATAGAATCAACCTGAAAATGTTAGTGATCTTAGTGGAAAATATTATTTAAGTTCATCTGAAGTATAGACAGCAAGCTTCGGTTTTTAAAGAAGCCTCTAAGAAACCTTTAATGAAATACAAGTACAACTCTTGCTTCAAGAGTGTTTGTGACGTTTTTGTACTTCCTGACTAACAAATAGAGGATAGTTCTTTTTTTTTTTTTTTTCCTCTCTGAAGAAAGAGAATTAAAAAAGCCACCAGAGGTCTTCCTGGAAGAATGTGTACACTTGAATGTTATGGCTGTGCATTTAGAAAGTTTTATTGATTCTCAGTTCTTTCCTGTATGTTATTACATGTAGTTAGCAGCCATAGTTTCTGCCAAAGATAGAATTAATTTAAGCATGTATTTCTACATTGTGTAGTAGGGATGATATAGACAACCTCCAAGCATGTAAACACGATTGACTTTGTAGTCTCAAGCTGTGAAATTTAGCACTGTTCATGTATACTTAGGTGTAAAGCGTATACGCATGTACTGAACAGCTAGTTTTGCCATGTATGGAGATACAGGGCTGACAAGGAGCAGAAGTGTCCAGCTTGGCTTAAGGCCAAACAGAGATCACGAGAGAATTGTTATGGTCAGTGTTGTGACTTCCTTGATACACATCATCTTCTGAGAGATGTTCTCCAGCATCCCCTCTGAACCCTTGCTGCTAACCCAAGTTTAAAAAACATCCAGGAGATGCATGTGGGATTCTGTTTTTGTTCTATTTTTTATGTTAGTTTCTGGAAGTTGTTACCCTCTATATTTGATGATCTGATACAGGATTGCTTATGATGATTTGGTGAGTATCCTATTATTAGGACTGTGTTTGCCTATTTTTTGAAATGATCCCATTTCTTACATGAGAGGAAAAACAAGCATTAAGTAGGCTTCTGTGGGGATAGTAATGGCTGAATATAATATAGGTGTGAGGTACACAGCAAGTGGTAATTGTGATTGAAAAAGTTCACTTTCACGGATACTTGTTTTTTGGTGTGTGTGTTCCTTTGTCTTCCATTGTCTACTAAATACTGTTGGCAGATTTGGCTTCTTCTGAGCAGGAGTCCCAGGAATGCTTTGGCTGCAATTCAGTGTGGTTGTGTTCACTACAAGAATAGAACTGTTTCATTAACCTTGACATGCAAAATATTTTTCTTGTTATTAGCTGACTTGATACAATTCCAATTGTAGTAATAAAAAGCAGTGTGTTTAATGACTTGATACAATTATTTTTTTAACATATTAATGTAACAATAAAATGTGGCATTCAAGGATAACTGGCTTGTTCATTTGGCTTCTTCTTGGAAAGATAGTGTTGCTTTGGCATTACTTTCTTGTTGTTGAAATCTCCTTTGAATTAGCTGGGACCTGTTGTCTCACGTCCTATAACTACACAGAGGAACAAATCTAATTTAGTCCTTCCAGGTGCTTGTGAGAAGGCAGTTGCTCACAACAAATAGAAAACAGAGAAAATAACAGGATGTTTCTGTTTGAGTTTGGATGTTGTCAAAATAGATGCTGGTATTTTGAAAGTGATTTTTTTTTTTTTTTTATGCAGGAAGAAATGAACGCCTACATTGTTTATCTAGTCTTTCCTTTTGTAAAAGCAGCTCATCTCTGCTTTCAGATCATTATAATTTGAAGTAACAGAGTTCTCTAGTGGTAGAAAGTCCTTAGATTTATGTTCTGAAATAAGATGGCACAACTGCCATTTTGCATTCGTCTTGTTCAGAGTGGCAGTTACAAAGAGCACATTAACTCATTTGTATAATATTTCATGGCTATTTCAACTTTTCTAAAACTTCCCTCTATCTTGCTTTTGCAAGTTAATTTTGGTTGAGATTTTTTGACTTGCTGAAGAAAAAAATTAGTGTGATCTCCTGCCAGGTTCTCGAGGAAATCATTTTTGTCTC